CTAAAAATAAATTAAATGAAAACAAAGATATTCATGTTCTTAATTAGGTGGAAGCTGGTCTTTTGTGGAAGTTTTTGATGTGTTTGACAATATACGAGGGTGCTGTTAATTAATCCAAAATTCTCTGCGTGGTTTTAGGTCGGATGACTGGATTAATTTTCTCTCGGTTTATTGTTTTCTTTGACTAGCTTTAACCTAATGCAAACATCTGATTCAATGATTTGGATGCGATGAGTGATGAACTAGTAGGGCTATAAGAAATAAGTAACGAAGTTTAGGGTAAAATTGAGAGCCCAGCAAGAAGTTAGTAGTGATTGAAGTTTTGATACCAACTTCGCCGGAGCCCACGGTAATCTTCCCAGATTTCTCAGGAGCTGTGTTGTGACAACACCACCAACTTCTCAAATGACACAGCTTGTGGTGAGAGGCTGAGAGCGAGGCTCGGAAAGAAAGAGGGGCCCATACTCGAATAGGCATATGTAGAGGACAGACTGAAACTTTGGCTTATAATAAGAGAGGACGTTGTCTCCATCGTGTTCTTGCATTTGTTATTCATAATAATAATTAGTAATATACTAATATAAAAAATTAGTAGAAGATTCTATTTTGGCGATGGAAAATTGGAAAGAGGAGTTTCGTAATCAACACTGTAAAACGGTTAAGTCCACATACGGTAAGAAGATGATGAGTGAACCAAACAACCGGAAGGAGTTTAGCGAGTGAGCTGAACCGAGAAAGGAGCTCATCAAGTTATCGACTTATCGTCAGAATTCACATTAGAGAGAGAAAGAGAGGGACGCGTCATGGGTGACTTCATATCAAATTGACGTATCGGATAACGAGTCCGTACATAATAACAATAACTGACTTGCACTGAATGCCACTTCCATCCTCCCTCCGAATGTCCTCCCAACAGCCGTTCCAACAGTCTCTATATGATATGATCCGCACATCTCCCAAAAACCTTCTCTGATCTGATTCTGTTCTACATCTCTACTCACGATACATTAGAGCTGTGCATTAGAAATGTTTTTACACGTGGTGATGCTCGGATGTGAGAAAAAAATTGGGGGCAGCAGACCTGAAGTGGGCAAGTGGCCAATTTTTTATTATGATGCGTCCCAATTTTATGGTGAGATGTGCCGTGTGCAGATGGAGGTATAGAAGTATGTGGGACAGTTTTTGTTGGAAGGAGATCTCAAACAGCCTTTACCGGCGAATGCCACTTCCTTCCTCGATGTGATTCTCCGAAAAAGAAAGAGCATACAAGTGTCCCAACGTTAGATATATAGAGCAAGAGACGTAAGACGATCATCCTTTAATTTAGATGTTGAGGAAGAGGAAGAAAGGAATTCGGAGCGTTGGATGGATAAAGCCATAAAGGTCACAGACAACCGCTAGCTACACTAACGTGAGATACTGGTATTTCATGTTCCTCCGGCGAGGCATCTCTTTTGGAGTTCGCAATCTCTTGCCCACAAGAATTCTGTTCACGCTACCCACATAACATAACATCGTAGTCACATACATAGAGAACATTTCCTCCTCCTATATATTATTATACACTGGAAGATATAGTATATTATGGGTAGCACGGGATAGTATATTGTGGGTAAATGTGGGTAGAATTCTTATAAGCAGAATTCTACCCACGTTACAAGTAGCCACGAATGCATCTGATTCGAATTTGGGTTTTCAATAACCTGATCGCATTTGTTCTACATTAATCCGAGTCCAATAAGCAACCTCTTTTTACCTTCAACTTCACCTGGAATTTTGTTGCCAGATTCTTCTCTCAGTCCGTATCGTTACTTAGAATTCAAATCGGCCCCTACAATGTCCCACAGTACATCCCTATCGCATATTGTGAATATCTCTTAATTATGGCATTATCATCTCTAATATTATTATTATTGGGAGATGTTTTTAATACACGGTGGAAATGTGCTTAGAACGTTACAGCACATTCCTGCCGCGTATTATGAACATCTCCCAATTATGACATTATCATCTCTAATATTATTATTGGGAGATGTTTCTAATATACACATCTGTACGACGTTGTGGGGGACAATCTTATAGGGGTTGATTTGATCTCCGTTACTTTGGGCCTGGGGGACCCATCCGTCAGCCATAACAATTGTCTAACTTTAATTATGTAATTAAGGAAATGTTTCTCATAAATAAATTAAGGAAAACCTATGCTTCCGGAGCTTTGACCAATCAAAACACTATATGACTTTTGATAGCCGTTGATTGATTACAAGTTTTTTTACTATCTTAATAGTCAAACCCAGTTAATTAAGTTGTGTTTGATTGCAATGCAAATAAATTTGTATTGATACAAACCATAGTAGTGCAAATAATTTGAATGTAAATTTTGATCATTTTTATTTCAAAATTTAGTTTTGTTTGTCTGATTGCAGTATAAACAAAGTAAATTAAAACATAAAGCAGAATAAAATTAAACAAGAATTTATATTTTTTACATTTGCACTGCAACCAAACACAAACACAAACACAACCTTAGGGTCTGTTTGATTGCTGAGAAAATTGGACTGAGAAAGGATGGGATGAGGAAAGGAAAATTTATTTTCTCAGTTAGTTATAATGTGTTTGTTTGCTTAGAAAATTTTTGTGAGAAAATCCACTTTCTAGTGTTTGTTTTGCAAGGAATAGAATCTGGTAAAAAATATCTCACAATTGTTCGATGGAAATCAAAACAACCAACTTTGATAAAATTTCCACTCGGATCACTCCATTTATCCTTTGCAATTGCTTCCGCACTAGAAATGTTGCTCAAAATCACCCAAATCCTTCATCCATGTTTCATCTACTCCATCTAACTTAGCACAGAAGAACTCCTTGAGTCTTTCAAGTTTCAGTCAGCAACGAACATGTTTTCAAAGAAAATCACTGAAAAGTACACAAAAACTCCACTGTTCTCAATGATTTTTGACTCTTTGAGATCGAGATTCTTGTCCAAGACACAAAATTGAAGTTAGTAAAAAGGAAAAATGAGATGAAACCTAGGAAAAGCTGATTAGAAGATTAGTTGCATAAAGCTTCACAGAGAAAGAATAACAGGACTTTGAGAACGGTTGAAGCATTGATTCCTATGGAGAGTCTGATTTTGGTCAATAGGGTCGTTTCATGATGTTGTGAACCTTGTTCCAACAATCTTCTTTGTTTTGATAAATGGGAACTCGGTCGTCAAAAACAAGGTTTGCCCAATCACAGACCAAGTTGTCATGGACCAACAATCTGTCTCTTTTTCTTCTACTTGAATAACAATCCCTCCAGCAATGAAACCTCTTCAAAATGCCTTTACACCCGCTGAGGATTGGTCGTGGTTGCATGGGCCACGACAACCACGACAACCAAGTTCCCGTGGTTGCTCGAAGCTTTGTTTACTTACTTGAAGCTTTTGATTTATTTACTGATGAGAATGGAATCACGACAACCAAGTTCCCATATGCAATTAGGTTCAGCTGAGTGCCATAGTTATTCACGGCCATGGCAAACGCAAAAACTGAGTTCCCACCTTAGGCACTTTAAGGGCATTTATTGAGGACGAATTGGAGGCATTGGAGACATTCTGACATTGGCAGATGAGGTGAAGAGAAGAAGAGGACGCATTGGAGACATTCTGGCATCGGTAGACGAGGTGAAGAGAAGAAGAGGAAGGGTTCGTTCACGTCATGAGTTGCAGGGTCTGATGCAGTTCAAGGTAATTTTGGTTTGGTTGCAGAGATCCCTCCTTCTCTCCGTCTCCCTCTTTCCATCGCTGACGACCTTTAGCGTGAGAATGAGGATGAGCTTTCCGTTGCTGATGACAATTTTGTCCGCTGCGAGTCATCGATTTCTATCGACGACAACGTTTAGCGCAAAAGTGAAGAGGAGCTTTTTGTCGCCAACGACAATTTTGTCCGCTGCGAGTTCTCGATTTCTACCGATGACGACCTTTAGCGCGAGAGTGAAGAGGAGCTTTCTGTCGCCGACAAAGATTTTGGCCGCCGCTACGAGTCCTCAATTTCTACCGTCGATGAGGAGTAGGCGAATGAGCGAACAGAGAGGAGGTTATGGTTGGGATGCTGGAGGAGGATGTGGTGATGATTGGCGACGGTGGTGGAGGTGCTGATAACAGGAAGAAGATGGTTAGTGGTGGAGAGAGAGAGAGAGGAGATGATCGACTTCTTGCTCTGACAAAGCCCGAACAATTTTCTTAGCGTTTTCTTTTCTCACCGGGGTCGCACTGTTTTGGTGCGACCCCGCTCACTTAATTTTGGGATCCCGCATCCCTCTTTTTTCTCATCTCAAAACACTGTTTACCAGTAAACAAACACAAGAAAGAGAAAATAATTCGAAAATATTCCTTTTTCTCATCCCTTTCTCAGCAATCAAACAGACCCTTAAAGAAAAAGAGAGTGAAAAATCTGGATCTACACAAAGTATTCTTGACATCAACGTCACATCTCATCCCACCGTGGATTGAGAACATCTCCTTATGTTTTCGATATGCATGGAAAATATAAAGAGCATCTTGCGAGGAGCAGATCGGACTGCACAAAAACACAATATGTAATGCAATTAATCTTTCTTAGTTTTTTTTGGTTGTTTTACAAATACCAGAAAATTTATAATCAATCAACCGCTGCCATTAAAGGGAATAACCAATGAGTTGGTATTAATAGAAGTGCCTCCGGTATCATATCTTTCCGGCGCCTTAGATTTATCCCTAAAGTCAATGTTAGGCAGCGGCAGTTATGTCTTAGCTTAATTAAGAAATAGAGCAAAAACCGTCAAAATGAGTCACATAGTACGAGTGTACGACACTCATTTAGCATCACGTGTTCCAATAATTTCTATAAATTTAATATTATTTTCTTTTTAATAAAACAAAAAAATAAAATATAAATGATAAAGGCTGGTATATTATTGAGCATACCGTGTTTCCAGCGCGTGGGTCATTCATTCATTTTCCTCTAAAATTCTATTTTCTAGTTCCTTCCAAAGAGACTCTCTAATCCAACCACCCGAACATCCCCTCTTCTCTCGCGTGTATATATATAATTCCCGTTTTCCGCCGTGAGTCGCTGACCACCAACTATATCTTCTACATCTCTCCGTCAACCCGAGTTTTGTTCGAAAACCTGAAGAATTTTTTGAAGAATAATAAAAGAGCAGGAGCTTCTTCTCTTCCTCCCTCGCGCTTTTCTTTCATTCTGGAGTAAATTTTGCACAGCTTCGACAGGTAGTTCCCTATTCTTTATTTCTTTTTTGGGTTCTTTCTTGCTTTATCCATTGTTTGCTTGGTTTCTCTGTTTATCCGCCTTGCATTCTTTTTTTTTTGTTAGAACCGAGAAACCTCCGAATTTCCTTATGTGTTTGTGTTTCTTGGATTCTTCTGAATCGTAGCTTCTCGTAATGGAAATGGAGGTTCTCTTATATATTTGTCTTATTAAGGGCATTGGATTTTCATGTTACCAAAACATTTCATTGTTCGTCGTTGCAGGAGAGATTTTGAAAACGGATTCAAGCGAGCTTCCTGTGAGAAGCTGTTGCTTTCATCACTCTGGCCGACACTCGAGTGATATCTTCTCGCACCTTAAGGGAGGTGTGGGTTTTTCTGGGAGGATTCATCCTTGCTCCCCTCGTCGCTTCTCCTCTCCTTTTCAGTTTGTCTCGTTCTCTGGTTTGGCGCCTCCCCGTTGATTATGGCTAATCTTCTTTGAATCTATTCTTTCCCAATGTGATCACTGCTTCTCTTTTGTTCTTAGCCTGTAAGAATTTCGGTTTTCAGCTATTTGGGATGTGAGTATCAATAGGTGAGGGGGAAAGGACATAAAAAATATATATATATCTGTTTGTGTTGTTGTCTCTGTGGAGAAATTCTTTTTCTCGAAGTAAGCCCGCCCATTCATCATCTAAACTGATGGCCATGTTCAACTGCTTCTGTGTGTTGGGCGGTGGAAGGAAGAAGAAGTACAAGGTAAGAAGAAGTTCCCTTTTTTGAATCAATGGATTCTCTGTTTCTTTTTGCTGCTTGCAAAATTCCTCCTCATATAACATTTTCTTCCACCTGTTTGCCATCAGGTTTATGAAGAAACTCCAGACCTTGTCCATTACGACAAGGGGCATGGAACTGTAGAGGTAAAGCTGGAACATCCTGTAAAAAATCCCCATGCCAAGGAACTAAATTCGACATCTTTCAGTGTCTCGGTACCCTTTGGCATCCAGGAAAACTCCACCTGCAAGGTGAAGGTGGTTAGCGAGGAAAGTCCTCTAGGAGCTGAAGCGACAGAGGCCTCTTATGAAGGGGAAGATGAGCGTGATGACATCTTGTCAATGAAGCGGGATTTCTCTGATTTTAATCTCCAAGCTCAAGTAGCTAACGGAGAGGATACGGACCAATCGATGAACAAAGAGATGAATTCTTACCATTCAATGGATAATGAAACGAGTAATCAGTCTGAGAGAAAATCATATAAGGATGCCATAGTGGGAACCGAGGTGATCGAAAGCGGACATGTTAGTGATCCAGGGATCGTGAAGGCAGAATTCTGGGCACCGCCAGAGCTTAAGCGCTCGTGCTCCAACCTTGAAACAAGCGACGTCCTGAGGAGGATGGCTGATCAATTGCCAACATTAAGGACTCATTCTTTTGATAACTTAAAGTATTTAAGTAAGGGGACGGGGGTGGAAATCATTCCAGAAATTCACGGCAGCCCGGTATCAGTTAGAACCTCTTGCAGTGCGGACAGGGTAATTCTGAAAAAACATTCTTCTAGCCAAATTCTGCCTTCGAGGAGTAGAAGGTTGTGGTGGAAGTTGTTCCTCTGGAGCCACCGGAACCTGCACAAACCATTGGATGTAAAACCAAAGCTGCTCCCCGTTGGCCATGATTCGAACCAGAAAGGTGGGTATTACTCAGATACGCTGGAGCTGAACTGTGCTAGCAAGGAATTGAGCAAGTTGAATTCCCCAGAATCATTCACTGAACAACCCAGAAATAGTGGCAGCGTTGACAAAAATTATAGTAACAATCAGATCTGGGGTACCCGTTCATGGCCTCAGAACCAATGGGTAGCATTCTGTACAGAATCGTCCTCCTTGACCAGAGTTGACGAATGGGTAAACAGTCTTGATGCCCAGTCCTCTCTTCCGGTTACAGATGAAGACACTGGTGATGAGTCTATTGTCTTTCCTCCTTCTCCTGAACATAGTGTGTCCCCAGCAAGAAGCACGACATATATGAGCAGACACCCTAATGCTAATGTCTCAGAGGAGGTTTTCTATGCCAACAGTGTCATCCAGTCTCTGAATTCTTCCTCAACCGTGGCTCATATTGCTGGAATGGGCCTGAAAGTCATACCCACAATCTCTGGATTCTCTAGTCTTCGATCTGTCAACTTATCAGGCAACTTCATAGGTAATACAACACATGAAAAAAGAAAGAGTTAATGAAAAATGGATAATAGTTGCTTTTATTTAAACACTAAATAAAAGTAGAGAATGATAACCTGTTAACTTTTGTTTCTCCTCTATTTGCAGTTCACATTGCTCCAGGTTCGCTGCCCAAGGGACTCCACACCCTCAATTTGTCAAGAAACAAGATTGCAGCTATTGAGGGCCTCAGGGAGCTGACGCGCTTAAGGGTACTCGATCTCAGTTACAACAGGATTTCCCGGATTGGCCATGGTAACCATGCTTGTAACCTGCTATCTTTTTTGGGTTCTCCTATTGCATGTATTTATGGCTGAAATAGCACAAAAGCCTAACTAAAGAATGTCTTGCTTGCACTGTTTTTAGGGTTGTCTAACTGTACACTCATCAAAGAGCTCTATCTGGCGGGAAACAAGATTAGTGATGTAGAGGGGCTACACAGACTTTTGAAGCTAACAGTTCTGGATCTAAGCTTCAACAAGATCACAACGGCCAAAGCACTTGGCCAACTAGTTGCTAATTATAATTCCCTGCTAGCACTGAATTTGCTGGGGAATCCAATTCAGAGCAATATTGGCGATGACCAGCTGCGGAAGACAGTTTCTGGGCTCCTTCCACAGCTAACTTACCTGAACAAGCAGCCCATCAAACCACAGAGGGCACGAGAGGTGGCCATAGATAGTGTTGCAAAAGCTGCTCTTGGGAACAATGGTTGGTCACGCAGAAAGCCACTGAAGCGGGTAAGCCCAGGTGGATCATCTTCTTCCAATGGACATTTGAGCAGCATTGGTGGTGGTAGTCAGAAGAGTCGGCAGAGGTCAAGGAGCAGAGTTCAGCATCATTCCCCCATCAGACGGAGGTCTTAAATTGTTTGGTTACCAATTGGATTGAATAACTACTTTTGGGGAGCCATTTTACCTCATAATTGGATTGAAAATTATTTTTGTTTGTTAATTTCATAAGTTAATAAAGATTTGTTTAATTTGTATATTTATATTTTTGTTAGTCAGTTTGGATGATTATTTGTAAGCAACCTAATGGATTTGATGATATTTTGAGTTCAATTCTATGTGATATTTCAATCTGTTAGTGTTATATATTTTAGGTGGAATAATTGTTGCATACAAGCCTCAGGATAGTTCATGGTACCCTTGTGGCTTCCTCCTTTTTTATTCCTATTATTGTAGCAATTCTTCAAGGATCCAGGGAGAGGTTTTGCACAAGAGTGATACTTCTCTTGGGGCATCCGTACTGGATTAACTGTGTTCATCACTCATTAGCCAATGAATGGTATCAGATTTGTGGTTGGATCACAACTTTTTCCACAATTAGCAAAACCATCCTCCCTGGAAGGTAGAACTCAAGCATCTGTACCAAGTTTTTGACTCAAACAACTCATAATTATCTTCTGGAGGGATGGATCATTGGTTTCTTCTTAGAGTTAATTACTAAGAAGTTATTCGTTGAAGAAGACAGTTACGCATCTGTACCAAGCTTTCTTTCAGATCCCTGCTGCATGTGCAGAGGCTACATAGATACAAGGTTATGATAATTCTGTTGAAATTTACAGAATTTTATCTTTTGATGGTGACTGAAAGCTGGTCACCTTGCCTGATCTTCTTTCTTCCACACCAGTAAATTTGAGAATGGTTTGAAGAAATTCAATGATTTTGCATCAGTCGATTGTAGACTAATGTTTCAAGTAACATTAGTTACAGAACCTGAACATGGAATCAGATGGCTTAGACATGATTCACAATCAAATTACTCCCTTGCTCTCAACTGTACATTCGGTACCTTCCGGCACAAATTACCTTTATTAGAAGAGGTTTTCTTCTTTTACTCTTAACACTAGACATGGATGGCTATCTGATGGTGTTTATTCAGGACTAAAATGCCAGACCAGCAGAATCAGTTATTGGCGTTTGCAAGAAAGAAGTATACTTTGTAGTTGAGTAGGAAAAAATTGCTTTGTTTATTTTCCCCCTATTTTTACTCCATTATTGAAACAAATATTATAAAGAAGTAAAGAAGACAGTATTCAACCATGTTGCGTACTAGGTCAAGCCGCATAGTAGTATCACAGGAGGATCATGACTTGTGTTTTTCAGAAATGGACGAAACTGATATGAAATCATACATTCACCTAGAGCAAGAACTTTTCACAAGATTTAAAATTTCAAACTCATAGAAGAAGCCTCAGACGTTAGACGAAATTGTTGACCGACAACAAACCACCAGCAGCTCCTCAACCCCACCCCGGAAAAAGCTTGTCTGTTTTGAAAAAAAAAAAAAACAGCCTCGGCTGTTTTGAAGCTTCCTGCACATGATATGCACAAAATATGTTATAGTTATCTTCTAATTTCTTTGCACTTCCTAAAGCATAAGTAGGAAATGGGTCTAGATAGATTCAAGCTTACCACTGTTGTCAAAGTCTGCTAAGACACAAACAGGGAGACAAGTGTATAAGAAAAGGCCATGTCAGCCTTTAAACAATTCAACTGAAAGCCAACCACTCGAACAGAATACATAACAGAACTGTACAAGTGGATAGGCGGGTTTAACTGATTGTATCACAGTTACAAGAAATATCAGAAGGGAACATGATTGATTCTCTGAATTCTCTCTCTCTCTTTCTCTCTCTCTCTCTCTCTCTCTCTCGCTTCAGGAGGTAGGCTCCCTCGAAGAGCCCTACGTTAGGCAGTTACCTAACAAGTTGGTATCAGAACTAAGCTGTCGAGCACAAGGTCATCATCGATGGAGAACAGGTTCGAAAACATGGAAGGGGAGATGCAGCGAATGTCGGCAGACATTAAAGAAATGAAGAAGAGCTTTGCATCCTTGCTCGGACAATCGGAGCAGATACCGCTGGGTTCAAATTGAGAAGGGCAAGAAGGACGTAGTGATACTAGTCAATGGAGCAGATCAAGAACCAACAGAACAACAAGAATCGAGTTCCCCATCTTTGCAGGGGGTGATCCAACATCTTGGCTTCTTCGAACAGAAAGGTATTTCGATTATCATAACACGCCTGGACCTGATCGTGTTTCCCTGGCTTCTGTGCACCTGGAAGGAGAAGCAATCGTTTGGTACTAGTGGTACTGGCGATGACATCCAAGAGCCACATGGGCAAACTTCACAGATGCCTTAACAATGATATTTGGAGCATCGGCCTTTGAAAACTATGATGAAAGCCTTGCCAAATTACGACAGACCGGCTCCGTCTAAGATTATCAGATGGCATTCGAAAGATTGGCTGTGTGCGTGCAAGGGTGGGCGGAAAATGCATTTGTTAGCAGTTTTGTCGGCAGACTAAAGGAAGAACTGCGACTAGAGGTTAAAGCCATGCAACGTACCACCGTTCTTGATGCAGCAACCTTAGTTCGACTCCATGAGGATAAACTGAATCGAGCAAGAAGAATTAATCGACCTCTGGGAGACGCAATTAGACCAGGTATACCGAATCCGGAACCTGGTATCTTGGGCAAACTGGATTCAAGACCAAGAGTGGGAATCATGGGCAAGGAAGCCAACTCCAGTTCAGGCCCACTCGCCCCAGCCAAGAGGTTAACTTGGGCCGAGATGCAAGCCCGTCGAGAAAGGAGCCTTTGTTACGCTTGTGGAGACAAATTTGGCCATCGTTGCAAGATTAAGCAGGTATTCTTCCTTCAGCCTGAAACTGAGAACACAAAGGAACCAACTGACATCGGCAAGCTAGTGAATAACCAAGAATGGGAGAAGTGGACAAAAGAATATCCAGAAGTATCCTTGCAAGTTTTAATCGGTCTTGCATCCTCTCAAACTATGAGAGTAACGACACCAATACAATTGTGCCATGTGTCGGTTCTCATAGATACAATTGTACCATGTGTCGGTTCTCATAGATACAATTGTACCATGTGTTGGTTCTCATATGTGACTGGGCCTGCCTCACAATGGACTTTTAGGTGGAAAAATCATAGGTGCATATTCAAGGTTAGATATCCAAGGATCCAGGGCACATTAGTCTCGCCACTCTAAGAAAACAAGCAGTAGTTCCAGCCCACATCATTCTAATGCAGATAGACTTCCACTGGAATGACCCAATTCTAGCCAAAGGAAGTAATTCCAGCAGATCTGAGGAATTCCGCATACAACTACAATAGGTACTTCAACAGTTTTCGGTGGTCTTCGAAGAGCCTAAAGAACTTCCACCGGAACGTGCCCATGATCATTGCATTCCCTTTCTGCCCAAAGTTGCACCCACGAATGTAAGGCCCTATCGTTACCCTTATTTTCAGAAACTAGAGATTGAGAGACAAGTGCAAGATATGCTTGATAGAAAAATTATACAACCCAGGCATAGCCCATTCTCCTCACTGGTATTACTCGTCAAGAAGAAGGATGGGACATGGCAGTTTTGTATAGACTGTAGGGCCCTGAACAACATTACTGTGAAAGATCGATTTCCCATACCAGTGATTGATGAACTACTAGATGAACTCGGTCGGGCCACAATATTCTCCAAACTAGACTTGAGATCAAGATATCATCAAATTCGGGTCCATGATGGCGACATCCACAAGACTGCCTTCCGTACAAATGATGGGCATTATGAGTTCTTGGTCTTGCCATTTGGATTGACCAACGTGCCAACTACTTTCCAAGCACTCATGAATATGTATTTCGACCCCATTTGCACAAATTTATACTAGCTTTATTTTTATGATATACTAGTACGTCCACATGGGACGAGCACCTAGTGGATTTACAAATTACCTTGGAATTATTAAGGACTTATAAACTCTTTGCAAAGGAGTCAAAGTGCGCATTCGGACAGACTCAAGTACACTACCTTGGGCACATAGTTGAAAATGGCATTGTAGCGGCAAACCTAGAAAAAAATTGCAAGCATGATAAATTGGCCCCAACATCAAAATGTCAAGGAGTTACGGGCCTTCTTGGGCCTAATAGGGTACTATCGTCGATTCATCAGAGGGTATGGACTGATTGCTACACCTTTGATAGGTTTACTTAGGAAGAATGGATTTTGCTGGAATATGGAGGCCTAGTAGACCTTTGAGATGCTAAAAACAACTGTTTCGTCTCCATTGACACTCGCACTTCCAAATTTCAAAAAGGACTTCATCATTGAATGTAATGCGTCAAGCCAGGGAGTGGGTGCAGTTCTCATGTAAGAAGGGAGGCCACTAGCTTTTTTCAGCAAAGCATTGACATCACAGTACGAATGAGAATTGATAGTAGTTGTTCTTGTAGTTCAGTGATGGTGACCCTACCTTCTAAGGAGGAGGTTTATCTTACGAACTAACCATCAGAGCTTGAAATTTCTGTTGTAACAGTGAGTGTTATCCCCGGAACAGCAGCGGTGGGTAGCCAAATTACTTTGTTATGATTATGTCATTGAATACAAGGCGAGGCACACTAACAAAGTGGCAGATGCACTGTCACACCAATCACAACTATTCCCACTACTACTCATGTCCTCAAAATGTTCTTTCATGGATCAATTACGGGTGTGGCTACCCGACCCGGAGGGAGGAACGGATAAAATGGATTATGGATTCAATGGAGTTTGGAGTCGCCACCTAAATTTTTGGAATTGGGAATTTAGGAAAACCCAGGATTTTTCAAGAAAAACATTTTGTTTTCTTGGTGACTTGTTGCCCAATGGGGATGGGATTCTTAGGGTCTGGAGACCAAGGTACGGTGCGGGATGGTGTTAGGCACCCCACACACGCCCGGTTAAACCGACCTCTACTTCACCAATTTTCCAAGGAAATTTATTTTTTTTGGCTTTTGAAATTACTAAAACTGCACAAATAAAAAAAAGTAAACTAAAAATTAAAGAGTTATGCTAAGGTAGACGAATAATTAAATGAATGGGCTAAATTAAATTAGATCTTAAAAAAAAACCATTCAGCTAAACTCAAAATATGCAAATGATCTAATCTACCGTAACATGCTCTACGTACCTATAGTTTTGGATTTGGATTTGGGTGATCTTGGTGCCGTTGGATTTGGATTTTCATGCTCTACGTACCTATAGTTTTGGATTTCCGATTTGGTGTGAAATGTGGTTTTGGGTCAAA